TTATAGATTTTCGAGATGTTAAAAATAAAATATTGCCTTCCAAACAGAGATTATCTTCTTTTGTTAAATTGGAACATTACAAAAGCTTAAGAAGAATGACCTTTCCTATAGAAATAACAAGCTTACCGAAGCTTTAATCGCTATAGACAATCATAATCATAAGTAATTTTGTATAGACTGATGATGCTTATCTCCAAAAAAAATATCGAATTCAAATAGGTTAGACCGTCTAACAAAAACTAAATTTTTTCATTATTATGACTTTTGTCTAAAATAAAAAATAATAAATAGGGTTTGTAGTATTCATACAGTTCATAATAATATTTATAAGTACCTACAGATAATTAAATGAATAAAATCAATTTATTTTTTGTGCAAAAATATTAAAATTCCATAAAAGATCTATGCTAATTCATGATACAACGTATGCATTCCTTTTAAAATAGCGGAAAAATAGTTTTAATAAATTTCATTCACTCTGTATACACACAAAAATATGGCCTGTTTTTGTAAAGCATCAATAATTTGACACAGCTCTAAATGTAAAGAAATTTTAGTCTAAAATCACCTTGTATATTATGACTGATCAATCAAAAAGACTGATCAAGAAAAGATATTCACTATGTCCCCAGATAGTCTTTGCAAGAGGAAAAACTTTTTATTATTGATACTTTGGGAAAAATACATTCTTCGTTTTTCCGAATCTTCGTACCATTTTAGAGAAAATTAAAAATACGAAAATAATTATACTTAAATTATATTACCATAGAAAAGCGCCTTTTGATTTTTAGGACTTTCTGAAAAGAAAAATTCAACTATATATTTTCATATTTTTTCCAATTTTCTCTAAAACGGTATGGAAATTTGGAAAAGTATAAAAGGAATTAACCATTTTAGAACAAGCAATCCTTAATACTTACTTAATGCCACTAAAAAAATGTAATATTAATATAAAAATATGTTTGAATCATCCTGTATATTAAGGATATATTTTTAAATTCTGCCAGTGTCCACATATTTTGTTAAAAAGTTAAATATTTTAGCCTTTTAAAAGAAACTGGCCAATAATTCTATAACTAATAATATAATAAAATAACTACACTTTCAACCCAACCCAAATTGTATTGTAAACTATAGATCCCTGTAAATTGGTATTACCATAAAAAATTAAAAAAAAATCTGCCAATAGATATACTAATATACCACCAACAAAATCTTGAATCCTGTAAAAATAATCATATTCTTATAATCAATCATAAAATATGTAGCAAAAATGATTTTCTATGTCAAAAATCATATAAAAAAGGTTTTATTTAAAAAAAAAAAACACTTAAAATTTACAAGATACCACCACATTCCTAACTAAAAGTTAAATTTAAAGCTATTAAAATTTAAAACTAAAACATTGAAGTGTAATAATAAGTTTAAACCACCCTGTATATAAAGAACTATTTTTAAAATATGCGCAGTTAGTACTACAACAGCAGTAGTTAGGTAGTAGTTATAAAAAGAATCAAAATAACTGAAACTAGAAAAAACATCTCTTCCAAACAAGAGTTACTTTAGTGTAAAAATAAGTTCAACCACCCTGTATATTAAGAACTATTTTTAAAATATTCGCAGTATTACTGCAACAGTAGTAGTAATAGTTATAAAAAGAATTAAAATAACTCAAACCAGAAAAACATCTCTTCCAAACAAGTGTTCATAAAGAAACTGTTTCAATATCCATATTATCTATATTCCCAGCCAGTAAAATCTCAAATCGTGTAAAAAATAATGAATTTAATGAAAATGTTTTATAATAACTTGCTTAAAACCACTAATATAAAGATAGATTCATCGAACTTTGAATATTTTAAGGAACATTAACTTAAGTAAGTTTAAAATATTTATAGAACCCTATACTAACAATCATATTATAAAAAAAACTTCTTATCCAGAAAAATTACATGAATTTTATAAGAAAACAATACTTACATGCTTAATAAACAAATTTAAGCTTCACAAACACAAACCAACACATTTATTTCCTTAAAAATCATTTTTGTAATCGAAAAAATCAATAAATTTGACTTGGGCTTTCAACAATTGAAGAATACAAACAATAACAAAGACAGCGCAAGTTTCCATAGCTGCCTTTGCTGGAATTTTCGAATTTTCCTAGTAAAGTTAAATGTTATTTATTTAAATATAATGTTTTACTGGTAGAATACCTTTGTCAATTTTTTTAAAATAAATTATGGATTAATTCAAAGTAAAGATTGTTGAATTTTTTGGATAGTATACAGGATGTTGAAGATATTTGAACAAATAATGTATTTTAAGGTCCTTATTTTATATATTTTTGATTAGATTTTGTATACAGTAGAGTTTTATTATATATTTTATAACATAAGACATGGATTGTTATAAAAAAAATATAACTTAGCGGGTGCTTCAAATTCTGCTGACTCTTACTCTGACGTACAGGGTGGCTCAAATTAAAACAAAGTTTTTTATCGATGGATTGAAATTATCCTTGTCATTTTTGAATCTTTATCTTAAAAATTTTAGGTTTTTGTTTTAATTTTTTACTAGTTCATTTTGACAGTTATCAACATTCATACAAATAGTTAAAAAATTCCGTATTATCGCAAAAAAACGGTGTCCAATTGGCTTGGAAATGCAAAATGACAGCGGTCTTCGTTTCCAAGCCATCTCTGACGCTGTTTTTTTTTTCGATCGTATAGTACTATCTAAAAAAAGTGGACTAATTAGTGTCTAGTACCAAATTCAATTTTGCAAACTTTTTCCCACACATCTGAGCCTTCTCAATGAAGAAATACAGTTAATGTAAAAAATGTTTTAACTAATAATAGATGTAAATTGCTTTTGTAAATATAGAATATCGTTTGAGTCTACTGTATTTTAAAGACTTTTAATGACAGATAATTAGTAAACTCTTCCTTATTTGATTCTGGTTAAAATATTTTGTCCGAAATATCAATACATAATTCTCATATATTTGTAAAATAAAATTTAGTATAAGTTGTAGTGCTTACCGATTCTAATGATCTCTAGTTTGTTTGATTGTCCTTTAATTTTGATTTTCCCAAAAAAAGTATACAGTATCTCCCCAGATTGTTTTTACAAGAGGAAAAACTTTTTTATTATTGACATTTGCAGAAAAATGCATTCCATGTTTTTCCTAATTTTCTCTGAAACGGTATGGAAATTTGGAAAAGCATAAACTATATTATTAAAACACAACCCTTTATTTTTAACAAAAAACCGTCCCTTAAAGTATTCTGCATTTGTTTTGAAACACCCTGTATACAGGGTGGCGCACCTCATTCGCCTCCGTTGATTATACGAAAACGGAAAGATGTAGAAACAAAATTTTTATGGGTATATGTAGAGAAGCAATGTGCATTATTTAAAATTATTTTCAAATGTACAGGATGTGTTGGAACTAAGAAGCAAAACGATAATATTACTAGCCCAATTGTATGCAAAAAGAAAACTATTTAAATCTTTATAAAAGAATATACCATTAATTAAATATAACACCATTATTTCCGCCCATATACTAATTAATTACATACTTAATTGTGTTCGTTAATAAATTATTATAAATAAATGTGGATTTGAGTCAGAAATCAATATAATAATAAGTTATCAAATTAAAGTCTCTGTTGTTATAAATAAGCAATTATTCAAAAATGAAATATCATTTTTAAGGTGTTACTTTTTATCACACTGTCTAATGCCCATACAAAATTCAGTTTTTTAGTATTTGGAGCAATTATTATTAATCAACGCAAACAGTCAGTTAATGTAGTTTGAATACTGGAATCATATTAATTGATCCTCTTTAAAAAATATTTAAACAGTTTTTTTTATTTTTTAATGAAATAAACGAATTATATCGACAATATTAGTATCTGTACTCTTTAAAAATTTGGTACATCTTTAAAAATAATCTAAAATGTCAATAGTCCATGGGTATATTGATAAATAAGTTCTAAATTACAAGAAAATGCATTTTCTACGGAAATTTAAAGAAATAGGTAAAAAATGGTATAATATAATTTGATAGACAATTATATTGTGCATCTGATTCTCGTAAAATATAGAGGGTGGTCCATTTAAATTAAACAAGTTATTGCCGTTTGAAGCTAATAATTATTTAAAATAAATTTTTAAACACTCTGTATAAGGTAGTATTATTTTTATTATTGCAACACAATAACTGATCAGTAAATAAACTTCAGTAAATATTTAGTATTAAAAACTTTGATACCCTTGGAGAAATGAAGCCTTAAAATTTTTAGTGCAATTTCACAAAATTGAAAATATTTCAAAAACGGTAAGGTTTAAGTATAATAAACCTTAATCAAATTTACCTTTATTTTAATCGTAGAAACTAAAAATGTAATAATATACAGGGTGTTCCATTTAAAAAAATACAACTTTGATATTTTTTACTTATTTGGGACACTCTGTATCTTGTAAAATTATTTTAAATTGTACCTCTAATAGTCCTTCATCGAACCCAAAACTTACAATTTGTAAAAATCTCATCGTTTAGCTACAATACTCCGTGTCGTATGTGGTGAACAACCCTGTATAATTTACCATATGTTTCAGTCAAGGCATCTTCTCATCAAAACCAATCAAACATCTCTTGTATTTGTTATAGACATTAATTATTATTATTACGACACAAGAAAACAATAAGCAAAACCAGAAGATTACATACACTATTGCCAGCTATTATATACGGGCAACAATATATAAGCATTACACAAAAAAATACCATCCAATGAACCGAGAAATTTTGAATATCTAACCCACATGAACCGATGACGTAGATAATGCTTTTTATCGTAAATATCAAGTTCACCACCATCAATTAGTGGTGATTCTTTGACAGGTAATTGGGTCGGTTTGTAATATGGTGGGACGTCATATTTTTTTTCGCGTATAAATAGAATAGCCCATTTAACCCGAACCATCAGTTGTTTTCAGTTGGTGGTAGTTATTGAGTCTTCGAGTGCATCGTTGGAAGCTATTGTTCTTAGTGATGAAGAAAGTGAGTGGGGTTTTGTACAGTGCGGAATAAAAAGTTTTGATTGTAGAGGCGTATACTTTGGTATTAGTGGGGTATATACAGTATGTCCCCGAATTGTCTTTACAAGAAGAAAATTTTTTTTGTTATTGACGTTTTGAGAATTTTGCATTCTTCGTAAAAGGTTTTCCTTGTTCTAAAATCTAACTAAAAATCAAAAAGCTAAAGTTTCTATATGTCAATATAATTTCGATTTCATTCTTTGACAGATGATTATTATTAATTTTGATTAACGTCGTAGTTTCTACTGTTGTTAAAGTATCACATATTGCACAATAACTATTATCACCCTTTTCATATCAATGAACAAAATAAGTTTTGTGCTTTTTTGACATTTTAAAACAGTAAAAAATATGACGCTAATTAAGATTCTAACAATAACAATCTATCAAAGAATGAAAACAAATTATATTACCATAGAAACGCCTTTTGATTTTAAAACTTTGGAAAAATCCAACCATATTTTCATGTTTTTTTTTATAATTTTCTGTAAAACGGTATGGAAATTTGGAAAAGTATAAAAAGCATTAACCATTTTAGAACGAGCAAATACTTTTATAAAGAATGTTTTCCTCTTGTAAAGACAATACAGGGACATACTGTATAATAACAGCGGTAGCTGGTAGAACTTATACGATATACTGATGTATCAAAAATGATTTTAAAATTTGTTTTTTTATTCATTTTTGAGTGTGCACCAAACAACGCATTTTTTTAGAATTAAAAAATAATTTGTATTTTTTTATTCAAAAAAAAAAATTCGATAAACTTCCTTTTTTTTATTGCAAAATCAAAAAATATATATTTTTTTTCAAACGTCACAAAAGTTTTAATTTTTGCGACGTGATCGACAACATAAAAAGTTCATTTTAACGCCTGGGCATAAAAATAAAGTACTTTTACGCCTAAACACAAAAGCATAGATAAAAGAAAATAATCTACTATTAAGATAGATATGAAACTTAATAGTAAAATTTTGGGTCAAAGCGCCCCTCCGTGTTCTTAGTAGAGACTAAGTTTAACCCAGCGCCTTCGCCTTTTCTGCTGTAAATGTTTTTTATGTTTATATTTGAATTCAAAGGATTCATTTTTAAAGTTACACTGATATATTAGTATATCAGAGTAACTTTAATAAAACATAAGAATATATATCAAACAATAAGAATATATATCAACAAATAAAACATAAAAATATAAATCAAACAACGAATACATACCATATATTTTTCTTTTATCTAAGATACATACCTTATCGTCTTTTGGAAACACGTACATTTTTGCTGTTTTGTTAGTTTTTTTGCAAGATGCAACACAAGAAAACACCATTTTTACAGTTAATAAATAATAAAACTATTTCTGACTATGATATTTAAAATTTAGATAGATAGAAAATTAAAAAACAAACCAGTATTTGCAAACACAGGCCCAAATTCAATAAAAATCAAAATTTTTCCTGCGAAAATCAGGATTTTTTCACTGAAAAGGTATTTTTTGATTTATCAGCAGTCATTGTCAAGTTGACAATATTATACAGGGTGTTTTCGAATTAGTCTAAAAAAATTATGGTGTGATTCCTCATGTGTTCTTAAAACAATTTTTATATAGTTCTTAAAACAATTTTTGTATATTATAATGACTTGCAAGGAATTACTTTTAAATCTTTTTATATTGCAATGTTTGAAATTGTTTAAAAAATTATTTGTGAACATTTGAAAAAAAAATAGCATGTTCTATTCGGAATAAAAATAACTTTTTGTGCCTCGCTTGTAATGTCAAACGTACGGCCCTATAAAAAGTATCATTTTTACTCCTAATAAAACAATATACTATTTTTCTTAAATTTTGAAACCCACTGGATCTTTTCCAGATTGTTTTTCATCTAAATTTAATTTGCTGTTATGTTTTTTAACTAAAAATTCAAAAAAGTGCAATTTTTTTTTGTTAAAATAAACTCCTAGACTTTTTCTGCACTTAATTTAAGACACACCCTGTATATTCGTTTTAAGAGTCCATTTCACTAGTCCGAAAAAGTAGCAAAATAAGCCTTCGGCATTTAAGGTTTTATGTAAAATTTTTTTTTACACAAATGAAGAAGGAAATTAAAGATAAAGGATTATACTATATCCGTATTGTACCAAATTTTTAGATAACTTCTTTATTTTTAAGATTTTGATGGTCAAACATGAACAAAATATTTCTTATGTTTGGACTAAATTTTCTCGAAAATAAAGACATAATTTAAAATTTCGTTACAATACGGAAATAGATTGAATTTTTGTGATTACAGTTATATATAATTTATATGGTTTTGTAACAAATTGCTTGATATTTTATGGCAAATGCTGAAGCTCTGCAAACCTTAATCAAGCCTTAATCAAAGCACGGGTGTTTGGAATTTTGGGTGTGGCTTAACACGACAGGATCAGGCTTATCCTTAGGCAGATTTCTGTAATATAATATATAATATTTCCTTCAGTCACACACCGGCCCCGGAGAGCGCGAACAGTACTGCCTCTAGTACTGCGTAATAGACTTAACAGATTCAGATATTTATCTAATCGACCCTGTACATCCTACTGTATATTGTCTAGAGATTCACGACCAATTATTATTACACAGTAGAAATTATATTACGTACATAAATAACCTATATATGCTAAAACACATCGTTTGTGTATCAAAGCCGTGCAGATACCTCCTGGCGCTTGATTTTCTCACGAAGATGAACATTGTGTAACGCGTTTTGTTATGAAATTACACCATTAACAAAACCGACTCTACTACGAGGGCAAAACGCAGAACTTAACCATTTAAACAATAATTAAATAAGAAAAAATAATAACGATTTAGCGCCGTGAGAAAAAAAAGCAATGAAAACTTAGTTAAAGTACGATTTTACAGCGTGATTGCCTCAAAATCGCCTCGTGATTACATTTAAATTACTTTAATTTGATTCTTTTTCAGATAATTTTAACATTGGCCTTCGTGGGGTACGTTTTGAGCGCTAGGCTCGACCATCTTCAGTACCTTCCGCCGCAGAACAACGGAAATCAAGGTCCTGGAGCTTCTCCACAGCCATTTTCACCGTCAGCTAGTCCAGCTGGTATGTATTTTATAGTTATTTATGCATCAAAGTGTTGATTACTGAGGGCAAGGTCATTAACACATTATGATTCCCGTAGTACGTAGATAATTTTATTTCTTACTGAATTTAGTATATTTTGTCCCATTTTAAAACAACACAAATGTTGCATTTATTAATCTTTCAGTATATTTTTATTAACGCTGCTGGTAGGAAATTTGTTTGTTGCCAGGTTACTATTGTATTAAATGACTTGTTTATAAATTGACGGTTGTTGTCAATCGAGTTCAGGTTTTTGATCATCATCATCATTTAGCTTATTCCGTCCACTGCTGAACAAAAGCCTCCCTCAACTCTAGCCATTTCTTTCTATTTTGTGCCACTTGAATCCAGTTTCCAGCCACTCTCTGAATATCATCTGTCCATCGACTAGGTGGTCGTCCTCTGCTTCTGTAGGCCTCGTGTCTCCATTCCACAAGTCTCTTTGTCCACCGTCTATCTGTCATCCTAGCAACATGTCCTGACCAATTTCTTTTAAGATATAAGACCTCATCCCTTACTACTGTTCGATTTCGTAGGGTATGATTGTGTATTTAATTATCCTTAAGTGCAACTACCAACATGGACCTTTCCATTGTCCCTTGCATGACCTATATTCATGTATGTTCAGCGTTCAAATGTTTCAGCTCCATACGTGAGGACAGGCAAGACATACTAGTTAAAGACCTTTCTTTTTTAACATATTCAGATCAGATCTCAGTATATGCTTTAGTTTACCAAATGCCGCCCACGACAAACCTATTCTTCGTAGAATTTCGTGTGTCTGATTATCCTTTATGCACTTGTTCCAAAAGTATGTTATTAATGTTTAAATTACCACTCAGTAATAAGTTTGTTATGTGTTGTGTCTTTGACAACTTAATTTTCAAACCGACTTTTCCGAAGATTTAGCATATCCAGCATATTCTGTGCTTTCTGTATGTTGTCTATTATTAAAACAATATCATCTGCAAAACAGAGATGATTTATCAATTTGCCATCGATGTTAATTCCTGTTGAATCCCCAGTTTATCATTTTTAATATACTTTCTAGCACAGCAACGAATAGTTTAGGGGAGAGTTGTCTGTGCATTGATTTGTCTATATTTTGACGTTTGACGTGGCATTCTCATATAATATGTGACATTAATGATGTAAATAAATTATTAGAGTAGTTAGCTAAGTGTCCATTTTCTATTTTATATTATTACTCAAAATCTCTATTGTATCATGGTGGTTGCCTATAAAAGTTAGAGGGAGTTACGGCATCTTAATTCTTATTAATAATGTCCCAAACGAGTTATGGCTTTATTTATGGTTAACGTATCCAAGACTATATAAACTTAATAACTCTGCAAGAAATAAACGTGTTCTATATTCCTGTGTAACGATTTTTTTAATATTTTTTTAGCACCTTTCCAACCTAGTGCACCTCATGGTGGTCCTGGTGGACCTCAAGGACCTTCAGGTGCCCCTCAGGGACCTTCAGGACAGTATGGTCCTGCTTCAGAATCACAGAAACCTTATTCTGGTCCTTCTGGTATGTTGACTCTTGTTATAGACCTAGCTAGACTTTGACATAGGGCGGAGCAAAAAAATTGTCAAAAGTCAGTACTAAAATCTACCTTACCTTTACTCAATAAAAGACTTTATTTTAAAAGAAACCTGCGATGTCTTTGTAGAAATCTTGACAAAAATTCGATTTCAAATACATTTTTTGGCGCTCAATGATGCGTATATCAGAAAAGATATTCAACAAAAGTTTCTGCTTAACAATTTTATTTCAAACTACAATTGCTAAATATTCTTCCAGGCCAATTCCAACCAAGTGGCCCACAAGGACCATCTCCTGCTCCACAGGGACCTTCTGGACAGTACGGACCTGCAGCTGGACCCTCAGGCCCCGGATCTCAAGGACCTCAAGGAAATTTCGGACCTCAAGGACCTGCAGGACCTCAAGGACCTCAAGGACCTGCACCGCATCAAGGCCAGCCCTCGAACCAATACGGCTCCAACGCTGGGCCTTCTGGAGCTGGACCTCAAGGTTTCCCTGGACAACAGTACCCTGAGCAAAGATCTCCTCTTGCCGATGTGCCGATTTTGAGACTGGAAAGTGAAAATCCTGGTGATGGTACTTATAAGTAAGTATATCAACTATGGAGCTAACAAAATACAATTTTAGACATGCTTCTATTAGCATTTTTAAAAGTTATTTATTACATATTAATTTTAAACATTTTTCTTTTTCAACCATCATTATTTTTGATAAATAATACTTTCTTTACCGTTTAGATACGCCTATGAAACCGGAAATGGTATAGGCGCCGAAGAAGAAGGTTCTGCTCAATCAGGCTGGAACAAGGCACGTGGTTCATACCATTTCACCTCCCCCGAAGGTGAAAACTTCGAAATTACATACACAGCCGACGAAAACGGTTACGTTCCTCAAGGAGCTCATCTTCCTACCTCCCCACCAATCCCAGACGAAATTTTGAAGTCTTTGGAAGTGATCAGACAGGCCGAAGCTGAAGGACGCGCCATTGAAGGTCAGTACCAGCCCGAAGGTGACGACGGACAGTACCACGAGGGTCACGAGCAAGGTCAGTACAATCCTGAAGCACAACAAGGTCACACTCCTTCTTCGGGTGGTTTCTCTCAACAAGGAGGTCAGCAAAAAGCTTCTGGTGGATTTGCTCCACAAGGAGGAAATCAGCTAGGTTATGGAGGACAACAACAACCTTCCGGTGGATTTGCGCCACAAGGAGGTCAGCAAAAACCTTCTAGTAGTTTTGTTCCGCAAGAAGGAAACCAGCCAGGTTATGGAGGACAACAGCAACCTTCCGGCGGATTTGCGCCACAAGGAGGAAATCAACCAAGCTTTGGAGGACAACAGGGAGGTCAACAACAGCAACCTTCAGGTGGATTTGCTCCACAAGAAGGACACCAACAACCTTCTAATGGATTTGGTCAGCAGACAACCCCAAAACAGCCTTCCAATGGGTTTGGTCCTCAAGCAGGTAGTCAGCAAAGTTACAGTGGATCTCAAGGAAGTCAGCAACCTGGCCAGCAACCTGTAGCACCTAATGGTGGTTATCGGTATTGATTATAACTGAGCGTGTAAATATCTTATTGTACAGTATTTAATAAAAATATTTTTTTACTAAAAAGCTGTTTTATTTTTTGATAAAATGTTGAAAACCTTGTAATTAAAGTTTGATATACAGGGTGTCCCACCTAATCTAAACGCCACATCGCATAATTTTTGAGAAAAAAAATTCTGGAGAATTTATTTTTCCAAAGCTGACCTAAACAAAATATACAAGGAGTTCTAAAATTCCGTGGACATAAAACAACTACGTATTTTTTGAAACAAAATAAGTTAATTGCACATAATTTACCTTTATACGAAAGCACTTCGTTTTTCCGATATAAGGTATCAATCAAAAAAACACCCGAACGTTAATTAATTTAAAATATATTATTTTTTTTAAGCTTTTCATGAAGCTTATTGTAGATTATTAGAGCATAATAAATTTTATGCTCCTCCATAGCTGGATGTGACAAAGAACAATTTTTGAAAGTCAGCTTAGGAAAAACATTTTTTTTTGCTCAGAAAGTATACGTGGTGGCGTTTTTTTACGAGAGACAAAAAATGTAGTAAATACTACTAGAAGGACCATTTTACAAATCTGTTGTCTGTTAAGTTGGATAATATTAATACCAAAACTTATGTAGTTGTGGGGGTAGCTTTTATCCTCCCTGTATTTTTTCTTGATTTTTGTAAAAGTCAAATTTTAAAGCATTTAGCAAAATATAAACCCATAGCCCATAGATATTTAATTTTTTTAGAACATTTCGATTTCTAGACAAAATGGTGAAGGAAATTTATTAGTACAATCACCAGAAAAATACTCGAAATGAAAGAGCTAAAATTGCACAAATAGAATACTAGATGGCGCGACAATATCATAATCAGAATATAATTAGAAATTTTGAACTTTCGGTTTAGGAGCGATGGCTCGTCGACGGCCTTATAGCTCGGCTAAATATGCACAGTTGCCAGATTCAAAAAGACTTGAATTGGCATCCCATTCTTTTTATTGTGTATAATATGTGTTTCTTTCTATTCTTCTTTTCCTGTCAGATACACTTATATTAATTATTCCTTTGGCTATTAAAATAGTTTTAAGTATATTATTACAAAACATATACATTTTTAATATACACTACCTTATAATGTTAACTAAGAAAATACCTTTAATTACCTTTAAAATTAATAATATACAGCGCGATTGATAGTGATATTTATTAGTGCTGGAACGTTAGTAATGAAATATAAGTTTAATAATAATGGAAATAATTTATTAAAATGCAGTACAAAAAATGTTAACTGACTAAAAAATACTATAATAACAAATTTCTTCTGTTTGTCACGTTATTTATATAGACCTAGGTAGATTTTAAAAAGTGACACAGGTACAACTAATAATATATTAGTTCGGCATAAAAGTTGCTGTCACGACATCGAACAATAAATTAAAATTCGTAAAATAAATTAAAATTATTAATTAAACAAATCTTTATAAAGAGACGCAAGTATACCAAATTTGGGCCCAATCGAACTCCAGGAAATGATATCATAATAGTGTACTATATTATGGTACTACTCGATATACTATAAGGTACCATAATATTGCAATGTCACCGAAGATCCGTAGTACTCCAAATTTAAGAACAATCGAACGCCATGAAATGGTATCGTAATATGGTACTATATTAAGGTACCACTTTATATACATCATAGTTCAATCATATTACAATGTAACCGAAGATACGTAGTATACCAAGTTTGAGCCCAATCGAACGCCAGGAAATGGTATCGTAATATGGTACTATATTAAGGTACCACTTTATATGCATCATAGTACCATCATATTACAATGTCACCGAAAATACGTAGCATCTCAAGTTTAAGCCCAATCGAACGCCATGTACGTAATATAGTACTATATTATGGTACCAGTTGGTATGCTTCATGGTACCATAATGCATGTCATCAAAAATACGCAAGTATATATCAAATATGAGCTCAATCGAACGCCAGGAAATGGTATTGAAATATGGTACTATATTAAGGTACCACTTTATATGCATCATAGTACCATCATATTACAATGTAACCGAAGATACGTAGTATAACATGTTTAAGTCCAATCGAACGCCAGGAAATAGTATCGTAATATGGTACCTCTTTTATGCTCCATGGTACCATAATATTACAATATCACCGAAGATACGTAGTATCCCAAATTTAAGCCCAATCGAACGCCATGTACATAATATGGTACTATATTATGGTACCAGATGATATGCATCATAGTATCATCATATTACAATGTCACCGAAAATACGTAGTATACCAAGTTTAAGCCCTATTGCCGCCATGTACCTAATATTGCTATATCATCAAATATAGTACTATAGAAGGTACCACTTTATATGCTCCATGGTACCATGATATTACAATGTCACTGAAGATATAGTATACCAAGTTTAAGCCCAATCGAACGCCATGTATCGTAATATAGTACTATATTATGGTATCACTTGATATGCTTCTGAAAAAAACGGCGTCCAGTTGGCTGGAAAAGGACGATCGATGACATTTCCCATATAAATTTACATATAAAATGACAGTGATATTCATTTCATAGCTATCGCTAACGCCGTTTTTTTCCCGATTATACAATATGAACTTGGTATGAACACAATCGAACGTCAGGAAGTGGTATCATAATAGTAGAACAATACTTATTATATTGTCGCCGAATTACAATGAAAATTCAGGATTCAATTATACAATCAAACGTCAGGAAGTGATTGTAATTTAGCTCATAAGATTTAATTCCAACTAACATGGCAAACTGAAAAAAACAGCTCTGATCTATTTTAATATGTTTAAATGATGTAGCAAATTAGAAGGCAGGCTTTATCAGGAAGTATTACGATATGAATTACACAATGGCAACACTACACAAAATTCTTTTAAATTTTATTTGTAGAAAACTGTTTTCTTTTAAATTTATTGCCCTCTCTTATGTAGTAGCGAAACTACCACATCAAAATATCTGATTTGGAGACAGACTTTTAAAGCCTGTCTCCTTTTGCTACCTACAATTTTATACATGTAACGAGGCTTCTGTTGCGTAGCTAGATATTCTGTGGTACAGGGATAGCACAGTGAGGAACAAACACTCTAGACTTTACAGGTGGCAGTGTCTTAACAGAATTTTGAAAAAACTTTTAATGCTTTCTTTATTTTTTTTTGTTATCCTCTAAAATAAAACAACCATTTTACTTCACAAGTTACTTTTAATGCAGTACTATCATAGCATTTTGGTATACAAATTAAATTTACTTTTATATTACAATATAATACATAAAAACTAATCGGGATCGTTACAAAAATCAGCTGTATACTACAAATAATCATCTTTCTTTTATTTCAAGTCATAAAAAAATTATATAAATTAATTTTTAAATATATATTATTATGTACTTAAAAAATTCACCCTAACGTCACAGAATTACGGATAAAATTTATATTTCTGAGAATTCAAGGGTCCTCTAAGGTACTATAGTGACATTAAACTGAATTTTTTTAATAAAATAAATAAAGTATTTAAAAAAAATGAATTTCTATACACATTTTAAAGCATACAAGCTGCATTTATTTCGTACTATTTAACAGAAATTTTAAAGTGATCTTATTTACTAAAAATATCTTTATATATATTTATATATAGTATATATTTTGCTGCACCAATTGAAATATGATACAATTTGGAAATTCTTCATGTTATTCTCTATAAACAGTTTTTTTTTATACATTATTATAATTGGAAAAAGTCCTACTTGAAGCAGTCCAGGTTTTTTATTTCTTTTCTTATTGTTTTAAAAACATTCTTTAGAACCATCCTGTGTATTAAAGTGATAATTTATACAAGGAGCAATAAATATTCACACACAAGCTTCCTAAAAATATAAGGTTTCATTTTTTATTTCATTATATTATTTCTTTTATTTTCTGGAATAGCAAAATATAAATAAAGAAATAAAAATAATAATAAAATAAATAGGAAAATATTAAATCATATATTGTTCCCAAATATTCTGGAAAATATTTGGTCAATAATACATCATCTTGGAATGTAGATGTGTCCCATTTATTTTTTGACTAGCGTCCCACATTGACTAATTTTTACCTTATTAAGAAAAAATCGAAAAATTATTTAGTAATATATAGAGGTCTATATACTCAAAAAAAACTAATATTATAACTTAATACTAGATAGATATATGCATTTGTTTAAGTCTACACCAAAACACTAAGATGTATCCAGTTTTAGTCATTTTATTTTAACAAAAAAATATACCCTTATACATTTCTTAATTCTTTGTTCAACAAAAAATGTTTTAAATTTTGCAATTTGTAATTAAAAACTAAAAACAATAATACAACAGAACGATTCTAAAATTATATTTTATATTCAAGAAAATATAGATTGGAATATAATATTAATAATTTCTTCAAAATTCATGAAAACAAACTGTTTATTTTGACGCAATACTCTATTTTTGGAAACGATGACGATATTTTTGACTTAGAATTCATATATTAAAATGTTTAATATTTTTGATTGAAGTAATGATTTCTATAGACACATAATTTATGAAAAGAAATTTATACAAATATCTTTTAAATAATCTCAATTTAAATATTATTTTTTTTTTTTCTACAATTTTTCAAAGCTACCTTTTGTTAATTTTTGTACAAAGTAATGACGAAATGATGACAAATAAGTCAATATATATCTACATATATTTTGTAAGACAGAGTTTTATATAAAATTTATATATAGTTATAATAAATATGAATGTTTTTTTTTTAGTTTTGTTAAGTAGATTTTAAAATAATGTGCAAAATGGTCAAAAAAAATAAAAATTTAGGTATATTCAACATTAATCTTTATATAATTTACTGTAATAATAATAATAATATATAGAAAAATGTATAACAGATTTTTGTATGTTAATGTTGAATATACCTTCGAAGCAATTAAAAAAATGCTACTTCTACTATTTGAAAAAAATCACATATTACCCATTACTAATACAGATAAAAATGTTTTGTTTTCTCTCACTTAGCTCACTCGAAACTTTTTTCTGAGTCCATACAAAAATACTTTTATATATTATTCTTAAATTTTCGTCAACCCATGCAGGCGGTGTCTCATTTTTTTGGAAATCTACTTAGAATATTATCAAAAATGGTATTTTCTAACAGTAAATGTACAGTGAGTTTTTTTTTAGTTTTGGCGCCAAACGTGGGGCATTTCAACTTTTTTTTCTGAATGTAAATCGTGAATACTGTAAGAAAAGTGTTACCTAAACAAAAATATGTTTACTAATAATATAAATATAGTACGTAAATTATGTAAATAAAGAAGTATAATATACAAAAAAATAATGTAAAATAACAAAATACAATCTTAAATAGGTATGATTTTCATGATCTGTCTACATATGTATGTATTTTAATGAATAACACTGTATATATAATTGTTTTAACTATTTATAACACAGCAGAAACAATAGAAGCTTCGATATTTAAATAAACATACTCTGTACTGTATTTTAGATCAAAATATACCTAGTTCTATAAATTTATTGATATAAAAATTAATGTTAAAAGAAATATTAAAGTTTCTAAAGTAATAATTGTACTTTGTATTTTGATTTTTGATTCTGTAAAACGTATTTTAATACCACTGCCTATATAATAGGTACAATAAAACAGCACTTAAAAAAAAAGAAAAAATTAGGTATACCATTTTTAACAATAAATTGGTACCAGATTTCAACAAAATCAACGTCAAGTCGAATTGAAGTTGATAATAAAAAGGTCTCAAGTCTCAGTAGGTAACCCTGCTCACTATGTTGAAAAATTAGAGAAGTTTCAATAATTATTATTTAGATAGTGACTATAGCTAATAGTTATTTATTACATACATAGGGGTTTTAGAGAGTAGGAATAATTACCCGAGGTTATTACAACTTTATAAATCCAGTGTCCATAAAATTATTATTTTTGTGACGTTCAAAAGAAAAGTTATTTTACGCCACTAGTGGGATCAAATATCGCTTTAAATGCTTCACTTTTTGAGTGGATAAAACTCCATTGTACAATTGTATGTATGTGTAATTGTATAATTATACGTAAAATCTGGAAGTATTATACCACTGTGGTATAATTGTAATTTTACTGAACAGAGTTACTTAGTACTTAGACATCATGTTGATACCGCGCTGCATGGGTTTTATGTGATCTGTACCCGTCTATCGAGCTTCCCCTATATTGTCAGTTTACGATATCACGCAACACTTGCACTTCCCCTTCTTTTTGATTGTGACGTGTTCCACCTGGGCAGCGTCCGATTCCTTCAGGGTACTTCTTTGGACCTCCACCTGTCCCGGGCCGGGGTTCTTATCCGTGGTACCGTTCGTTTTCGATTGGTTCGGCGAGGCGGCATTTTGGGTAGCAGCAGTCTGCGATACAAAAAAGGAAACGAAATTAATATAAAGAAATAACAAACCTAAACATGGGTACATTACATATTTTAATGTCAGTAACATACATATTTTATGTAATGTCAGTAAAATTACATATTTTAACTAATGTCAGTAACATTACATATTTTATTTAATGTCAGTAAAATAGCATATTTTATGTAATGTCAGTTATATTAGATATTTTATGTAATGCCGGTAACATTACACATTTTATGTAATGTCAGTAACATTACATTAATTTATGTAATGTCGGTAACATTACATATTTTATTCATCAGTAACATAACATATTTTGTGTAATGTCAGTTACATTACATATTTTATTTAATATCAATAAAATAGATTATTTTATGTAATGTCAGTTACATAAAATATCTAATGTAACTGACATTACATAAAATAAGCATTCAGTAACATTACATATTTTATGTAATGTCAGTAACATTACATATTTTGTGAAATGTCAGTAACATTACATATTTTATTTATTGTCAATAAAATAGACTATTTTATGTAATGTCAGTTACATTAGATATTTTATGTAATGTCAGTAACATTACATATTTTATTTAATGGCTGTAACATTATATATTTTATTTAATGTCAGTAACATAACATATTTTGTGTAATGTCAGTTACATTACATATTTTATTTAATATCAATAAAATAGATTATTTTATGTAGTGTCAGTTACATAAAATATCTAATGTAACTGACATTACATAAAATAATCATTCAGTAACATTACATATTTTATGTAATGTCAGTAACATTACATATTTTGTGAAACGTCAGTAACATTACATATTTTATTTATTGTCAATAAAATAGACTATTTTATGTAATGTCAGTTACATTAGATATTTTATGTAATGTCAGTAACATTACATATTTTATTTAATGGCTGTAACATTATATATTTTACGTAATGTTATTTGTTATGCAATGTTAGAACCTTTTAACGCTTGTTAAGCGGTTATAATAGAGGTGTCCGCTAAATGTATACCGTATTCATGTATTGCATTACCTTTTTGATTAAATTGCCTATTTTCTATGAATTATACAACCCACATTATATCGAGTCCTAACACAAACCATTTAATTTCAACCCTAAGCATAAATGCCAGGTTGAGAATAAAATGACACTGATCTTGCATTTGTTAATACCGTACGATCGAAAAAAAAGCGGCGTCGAAGACAAGAAAACTGACCTAAAACATGTCAAAAATTGACACTAATTATAAAAATTTTAAAAAAGAAAAGGACATTACACAATTTAAAATTAAATTACGACCTTTTTAAGGCCAACTGACAGTAAGCGCCATTAAAATATAATGCAGAGTACGAGCCAATGACGTCTAGCCAAAATTATAATCGATTTTCATTCCCCAGACACCTTTGACGCCGTTTTTTTAACGATCGTATGGTCGAATATAGTAACAAAAAGCAGATGTTTAAGAGAAATGATCAATCACCACCTATAGAATAAATAAAAAATAAAGCAATAGATAAAACCGCTATAATTTTTCAATGTTTAAAGGTGTCAAATAAATAGTGTATATGAAATGAACAAAATTCTTACAGCTTTAGTGTATATTAATAAATAATATTTTCTTGCCTTTAGCTGTGTATTTTTTCTAATTTCGAAAAATCGAAAGTAGAGAAAAAAAATAAAAAGTAAAAAGAAAATTGTTTTGCTTGTCGTAAAGGGGGGAACCAAGCTCCACTCCCACAACCGGTTTCTGGGCCTACCCTTCATCAGATGGGCTGTCCAAGAGCTGGTTCTCACCGGTTTTTACACTAATATCTCACCGACACTTTACGACATCGTCTGTTGATATCGAAAAAGTTTTGCTTGCCGTATCGGTGAGAACCAGCCCCTGGACAGCCCACCTGATGAAGGGTAGGCCCAGAAACCGGTTGTAGGAGTGGAGCTCGATTTGGTTTGGTTTGGACAAGCAAAACAATTTTCTTTTTACTTTTTTTTTCTCTGCTTTCGATCTTTCGAAATTAGAAAAAATACACAGCTAAAGGCAAGAAAATGTTATTTATTAATAAATAGTGTATCTAACTTGGGAGTAGCCATCAGGACACTTTGGACAGACAGCAGACTTTTACTGATTTTGCTGTCTGCGTTACTGTTTTTGTTGTCTGTTTTACTGTTTTTACTGACTGTTTCACATTTTTTGATGCCCGTTTTACTGTTCTTACTGTCTTTTTTGCTGTTTTTGTTAAATGGGAAACAGTCAGCAAAACAGGCAACAAAAATAGTAACGCAGACAGCGTATTCTACAGATAAAAATAAAAAAACAAAAAGATGAGAAAGATATAAAAATCAGTACAGGACTCGACATATTATTGGTGGCATATTCTGTAATTCCACACTAAAAGTTAGACACAAACACAAAGCTTCTTCTCTCCAAAGCCCCAACAGAAGAGCATGATATCCACCATCACCGAATCACCCGTATTCGGTTTACCTTGATTATAAAATTTTTGGTCATCATCATTTCATTGTTTACCTTCTTAGGGCTGGCTGAGTCCACGCCGTCTAACGCGGTGTGGTTTAATACCCCCGTACCATCGCCGGAGGGTAGTGGAGGTGCGTGGCTATCAGGGGTGGGGGTTATGGGTTTCCCCCCTTTGATTAGCTCGACTATTTCGTCCGCCTCCCGCGAGAGGTCGCCACCAGGACGGAAAGGATTGTCCCAGCCACTTTCAGTACTGCAAAGGAATAAAAAAAGTAAATTAGTATTGGCGGAAGTACTGTACTTTCAACTGAATCTCCTGCACTAAGATCTTTCCAAAAAATTGGAAGGCCAATATTTATATATTCGTACAAATTAATGTTTGTATGGATATTGATGTGTGTAATTTATTAAAAAAAGTTTCAACAACTTCTTCTGTTATTAATGTGTAGTTCATCTATTTTAGACCTAAAAATAGGTCACAAATATTTGTTTAGATTAATATTTCTGTTGATTTTTATGTATGTACATAATTTTTTAAAGTCATTTGAACAATTCGTTTTGAGATTAATGTACAGTTTGTCTATTTTTGTGCGAAAATTAGGTTAATATGTGTCCTCGGTCTTTTTCTGCTTTCGGAATCCTATTCAAAGAAACGCTACATTAGTGACCTAAATTTTGTGAGTGGTTTCTATCTGTAAAAATCGGGCTATAAATAATTGCTTCTTTAACTCATGCAGCATATTTTGCAGATAAAAATAAGTAAAAAAGGTCGTATAAATGTATGTCCTAAAATGCTTAGTTTCGGAGATAGAGGGTGTAGAAGTTTCATTTTTATTTCGATTTTTTCCAAATAATTTCTGAAGAAACGTCAATATTTAAATGAAAATTAGGGGTCTGGGTGTTTTTTGACATGAGAAATTTGATTTTGATGTCAATATAGCCCCTATTTGTTGGTGGCGCCACCTACATGTGTTTTAACTGTTTTGAAGAGTAATAACTTTTCGTCCGTACCTGTATAAAATTACTGAGTGAAAAAATATACATCTCCGTGATTTTTTACGTAATAGATGTCTCTTGGTAACAATCTCTACGGGCAACCGTTCTCAAGATATTTAGAATGGAAATAGTCAATACATGTCATTATTGACAAAAAATAAACATGTTGAGTAGATAGTTATTTGATTGAAATGATAAATTTGAGAACTTTTGATTTTTTTAAATTAATCATAAATTTTTGTTCGAAACAATGATGATAAAACAGTTTCTGTTGAACTTTTGGCACAAAACATTTCAAATTTATTACTTCAGTCTAATAACTATTTAGTCAACACGGTTAATTTATGTCAATGATGACAGGTATTGATTTTCGATTCCAAATATCTCGAAAACCATTACTCGTAGCGATTTTTACCAAGAGACCTTTTTTACACAAAAAATGTCGTAAATGTATGTTTTTTTGCTCCGTACTTTTATACAGGTACGGACTGTAAGTTATTACTCTTCGAACTAGTTAAAAAAGATGTAGGTGGCACCCAAATTACACCAATTTTCATTCAAATATTTACGTTACTTGATAAATTATTTGGAAAAAATCGAAATAAAAACAAAACTTCTACACCCTGTATCTCCGAAACTAAGCATTTTAGGACATACATTTATATAAACTTGTAACACCCTGTAAAACCGTGGATGTCGACTGAGGTAACCCACCCGTGAACCTTCTTCCCTCTTTCACGCACCTACCTACGGTTTTTTTCCTTCTTTTAGGTGATTTATTTATTTTTATAGCCGGCGAGCCGTAACAAGCCAGAAAAGTTGTGCCGCCGGCCGGCGTGTTTAGTGTTCGGTAACCCGTTAAAACGTCTCCCAGGAATGTGGGATCGGTTTGGGGCCTTCCCCTTGTTTACGACACTCCGATGTAACCGAAATTCCTCGATTTAAAGCCAGATTTGATCGGTTTAAGCAGCTTAAAATACAATTTGATCGTTTTTATGTGAAATAAACAGAGTATAAATATCTGGAGTAGAGATGTACCGAAATATCGATATTTTAAAATATCGATACATGTTTTTCACCATATCGATATTTTTTTAAATTTAGTTTAGGAAAAAAAACAGATTTGATCGTTTTTAGAGTATAATAAATATCTAGATTAGAGATGTATCAAACGTATCGATATTTTAAAATATCGATAAATATTTTTATATATTTCTTAAAATATATCGATATTTTTTTCAACATAGTTTAAGAGAAAAAATCAGATTTGATCAATTTTATACAGGGTGTCCCAGAAATAAGTGCAAGTATTTTAACTGGTATAAGTTGAACCCCAGAAACAAACCTATGAGTTTTTTTTTCGCGAAAAAAAATACTTGAAAATTCGGAATTTTTTGAAAAAAATTTTGTAATTTTTCTTAGTTTTTAGTTAAAAAACATAGTTTCTTGATAATATGGCAACATAACTAGCAGATTAAATTTACAAGAAAGAAAATTGAGAAGAGATCCAGTGGTTCTCAAAATTTTAGCAAAAAATCATTTTTTTGGAAATTTTTAAAGTAAAATAACTCCGTTATTTTGGACTTATTTGAAAAACGATAAAGCACATATTTCTGGGACACCCTGTATAAAATATACAGAGTATAAATATCTAGAGTAGAGATGTACCAAACATATCAATAATCGAAAATATCGATACATACATTTTCAATATATCGACATTTTTTAAGTTACTTTTAAGAGGAAAATCAGATTGGATCCTGTTTATATGAAATAAACAGAGTATACATATCAAAACTAGAAATGTACAGAACATATCGATATTTTTAAATATCGATACATTATTATTCAGTATATCGATATTTTTTTAAATTAAATTTAAGAGGAAAAATCATATTTAATCGTTTTTATAGGTGTTTACATAGCATAAATATCCAGAGTAAAGATGTACCTAACATATCCAAATATTAAAATATCGATACGTATTTTCTAAATAAAAACACTGAATTTTAGTGAGGATGCAGTTATTAAAATTGAGTTTTTTTTCTTAGCTTAGCTTAGTCAGTCACAACTAAACCTATTATTCATCGATATTTTTTTAAATGATTTAAATGAAATTCATGATTTGATCCAAAAATACATTTATAACTATTTGCTACATCTGTTTTACGTTTTTTCCTGTTTTCTACATACCCATCTTCTTCTCTAGGAACTTTCACCACATAGTACAAAACTCCACCGTGAGAGGGATTGTTAGGTATCACTTCCGGAGCCGCCATAATCACTAAAGTCTATTTCTTCCTCACTTTGATTTGTTTAAAATGTATTTTTCACTGTGCAGTCATTATTTTAAGTTTTATTTTAACGATTCCTTTCAAAATATCACTATGTTACTTATTTTCTGGTAGAGTTAGTATAAATTATTTATTATATTGAAATAATCACTTAAAAATCGATTTTTAAATAATTATCTATTGTTTTGCTGGGTAATACAGGTAATTATTGGCTAATAAGGTTACGAAAAGTATTAAATTAATAGCATCTGCAATGGTCTGATGCTTTAATGAATAGGTCATAGAAAAAGAACCCTTCTGCAAGGATCAAGCTTAAATCACGTGATAAAAGTTTATTTGTTATGAACTCTATTTTGACTCATTTTTTTCTGACTTTTTTTTATAAAGAACTTATTGAAACAGATATGTATCCCTGTCAGTCTCTAATAAACTTGTAATACTATTCTGGATACCGCTACATCGACACATAATATTCAAAGAATGTTGTCTTTGCGGCAAAAACAAGCACGTCTCGTTGTGGTTTATGTAACGAAGGTAACGACCGTCCATTTCTAGAGCCGCCGTTACGTCAAAGTACGACCCAGAGGCATTTTATTCATCGCGTACCGTATAAGGAACTATCGCAGTTAGCCTGTGCATGACGACAGATGAGGTGAGATTGAAAAAAGTGAAAACAAGGCTTTAAATAGACTGATATTTTTATTTTAAAAAATTGGTCAAGTGCAAGTAAGTAATTTAAAAAAAATAAGAAACACATTACTAAAAATTGTATTAATCAATAATAAATATGTAAAAAGTAAAAATAAATATGTAAAAATTAAAAAAAAAACGATTAAAAAAAGTCGCCTTGACTAGGATTCGAACCTGCCTTACTACGGCTCCAACGTCATAGCAGCGTAAAGTCCTAACGCTTTAACTACGCGGCCACCAAGGACTTGAAAGATTCTATGTAAAATTCTTACTTAAAAGATAATGTTTAGTGAAAGTACTTTTTTATTTATAAACATTTATTTAATTCTGCTTTTAGTATTTGTTCTTATAGCGGCAACATAGATACATTATCTGTGAAAATTTCAACTGTCTAGCTATAACGGTTCATAAGACAGACCTTTGTGACAGACGGACGGACGGACAGCGAAGTCTTAGTAAAAAATACTGTTTTTTGGGATTTAACAATGAAGAGTCTAAATTTTAAAAGTTCATTCAATGTTCATTATTCTGTAGGGTTCAGATCTGTCGAATATACTGGCCAGTTCATAGTAGTTGTGGTAGTATATAGTTTACAATAGTCACCAACGCTACCTCGTTATATTAAAAATAATGTCAAAAAGTATTGATAATTAAAAAAAAATGCAAACTACTAATACTAAGTTCACTTCGCTCTTAAAAATTAAAAAAAAATACGAAAAAAACATTCGACCAATGTGTACTATAGTCTACAAAATGAATAACTTTGAATTTTGACCGTTATTTTTTACCAACATGGCAAATATAAAATCCCTCTGTCAAAAAAAAACTGATATTCTTTAAACTGGGTGCCTGAACGAATCAGATAAGTAACTCTTTTTACTTTCGTGAAATAGAAAAGGAAAATAATAAAACAAGTGACAGTTCTTCCTCTTCTTGCAAAAATCAACACAAAATGTCATAATTGCCAAAAGTAAAATGTCACCAGCTTTTGACATTTCTAAATATCAGACCAATGCCGTCTCTAATAGAACAGCCTCGGAGCGAGATTGATGACGTCACGCTAGTTAGATACTACGGATTAATAAATATGCTGTATGTCATGATACATTGCAATTGATACATGTTCATTCATAAACATTGTATTTTAAAAATGATATAATTTATATGAAATATACATAATATACAGTTAATAAATACAATACATATACCTATTTATAGTTATAAATACTTTGGCAAATAAACTATGAACCACACAAATGCAGCAAATGTTTTA